AGATAGATAGATAGATAGATAGATAGATAGATAGATAGATAGATAGATAATTTTTTTTTTTAAAGAAAGCTATTTCCTTTCTGGCTTCCAGGAGACTCAAAGCCTAACATATGGCCTGTATTTGGAAACATGTTTCTTCCAAATTTCTGGGGGTTATTATTATTTTGGGGAGGGGGAAATATTTTTTATCAGTTTCTTTGGGGGTGGGGGAGGGGGAAAGGAGATATTTGTCTTGACAGTCCAGGAAAAATTTAAAAGCTCCCCTTGGGGCAGGGGGGGTTGATTGGGGTATCTACCCACTCACCCCCAAAATATGAGGGGGGGTGTCTGAAGGGTTTGAAGGAAATCTCACTAGGCCCAAAGAACAAAACTGGCTGTTTTTTTTGGGGGTGGGGATAAAAATAAAGGGGGAGGGGCAAACAGAGCTAATATCCCCCTTTTTCTTTCTCCCCATCGAAAGGGGGGGGGCAATTTTTGTTAATAAGACATTATTTTCCTCCCTCTGGAAAAAGAAGGGTCTCATATCCCCCTCCCCAGACAGCAGTTCTCCCCCCACACAAAAAGCACCCCCCAAATACATATTTCCTGCAAAAGGGGGGAGGCATGGTTGGAGGGGGTCTTTCCCCCCCCCCCCCAAAAAAAGGGGAAGCCCCCTCACCCCCCCCACACACAAAAAACACCCAGGATTTGTTTATACCGTCTCCCTGTTACTTCCCTCCCCCCCACCATCCAGTCCTTGAAACCCAGAGGGATGATGGTCTTCGTAGTCTTCGCCGGCTCGAAACCTTGGCCGAGGGCGAGCGCGGAAACTAACGCTCCCATCGGGCGCCGCGCCACCCGGCCCGACGCAAAGCACAACGGGAGTTGCCGTCCAGCGTCGCTCTCCTCGCCGGTTATCCCTATGAGACGCGGGACTGCAAGTCCCGGCGTGCCTTGCGCGGCCCCTCAGTTCTCCGTCGCCGCCGCCGCCGCCCCCCCCCCCCAAACCTTCGCTTCTCTCGCCGCCGCCTCAGTGAGGGAAAAGAGAAGGGCGAACGGCGGAGGCGGCGGCAGGGAACCGGGACGGGTTGGGGTGGAGAAGGCGCCTTGGCCGGGCTTACCGATGTCGATGGCGAAGCGCTTGGCGTTCTCCAGGTTGCGGAAGATCTCGTCCGGCGGCAAAGTGATGCTCTTGTCCAGCCGGCCGCCTCCGCCTCGCCCGGCCCGCTCCGCCATTTTGGACGCATCGACCCCACTCGCTGCGCGGCCGGCCTCGTTAGACATGCAAATTTATGCGCATACGTTTTGCATGGTTAATATAAGGGGGGGAAGGAAAACAACGCAAAAAAAATGAGGTGGAGACGCTCAGCCCTGCCCTCGAGTGGGCGGGACGCCGAGTGACCCCGCCCACCACCACCTGAAGGTCCGCCCACTTGCTTTTAGCTTTAACCCTTTAAAGCCCGGTGGGAGACCTCATTGAGATCTAGAGGCTTATTTTTTGTTTTAAATCAAAATTTGTGATATGATTTTTTTTTTAATGGTAATCTTAGCTCTTTTGATAAAATGGACTCCTGATTTTTCTACGTGGATTTTTCACACGGCTCTCCTTCAGTAGTAGGAATTCGGTCCACTTTGAACCTCAATGAAGTCCAGTGGCTTGAAGCAAATTAAAATCAGGCCAAACAAAGGGTGAATTTTATTTCCCTGGGAATGTGACCCATTGATTTTATTTTATTTAGTTTCCTCCTTGATTTCAATGAATGCAATAAAACTGAATTCCAGAGGATAAGACTCTGACCAACCAATAGTCAGGATGGCCTCAAATATAAGTTTAAATTTCAAGAAGAGACTGGACTGTCGTCTGTCAGAAATGGTGTAGAGTCTCCTGCTTGGGTGAGGGGTTGGACTAGATGACCTACCAGGTCCCTTGCAACTCTGTTACTCTGTAAATAAGTGTATTTGGTTGTACCCTAATTTTTGTTGGCATGAGAATAAAGGCTTCAAATTCGAAGTCATGCACTTGTAGCTTAATTGTGTTTTACTTTTTATTCTTGTTATATGTCTATTGTTTTTAAAACATCTTTAAAAAAACCTTTGTTTTTAAGCATTTTTTAAAATTCATCTAAGCTCTTTCTTCTCTGTTCTCCTGATTCATTGAATTTCATCAGAAACTGTCATAAGTATGGAATGGAAAGAGGTCTTCGCCGGTTGGCTGGCTACAAACCTGATAGTATAAGTTTGTCATTTTTTATTGGGGTTATATTTCATTTTTTTCATTTTTTTTTAAATGCCAAGCAATCTACAAACAGAAACCTTTCCATAAACTGTAATAAATTAATTTAATTAAAAACAACAGTGTTTTGTTCCTCCGCAACCTTATACCAACCGAGGTAGAAATGCAGTGTACAAATGCAATCAACAGATCGATAATTCTAAATTAATTCTAAAACTTGGGGATAAACAGCACCGGACAGAATAGCTGTTTTTACGACACTCTAAGCCATGATTGCTTAAGTGATTTCTCCATCAAACCACAATTGGCTACATTCTCCACGCAGCTAAGGAGTCTCGCACCCATTCAAAACAAAATAACAGTTGGAAGGGACCTTGGAGGTCTTCTAGTCCAACCCCCATGCTTATCCTATTCGGAAGAAGACACTTGGATGCAGTGAGATGGATGAAAAACGTATTTTTATTTATTTATTTTCCTCTTCCTCGTTATTGTGTAAAAGCTTCAATTGTGCCCCCTGATACCAGGGTACAAATTTCAATGCATATTCACATCAACGACATTTTCGTCCTGTAAGGACTCTGTAACACAAGTGCATCTATACACACACACACACACAGAGAGAGAGAGAGAGAGAGAAAAGAATGACTGGAATGTACACACACCACCCTTAAAAACCCTTGAAGCAAACCAAACCATGGGGCTGTTACCCTAGTTCCTATAAGGACGCACAACTTAACACGAGCCTTTATTAAAGGCCTTTGTTCAACTGTGAACACAAGCACTCCCTTTTCGGAAGCCAAGCCATTTCCGAGAATGGCCTTGAAATATTGCATTGCAATATAGAATGAACCCTCTTGGCAGAGAAATAGGATAGAAAAATGTCATAGAACTTTGAAACAAGCTTCCCTAAATGCTAAGATATAGAAGGAAGGAAATGAGGAAGGAAAGAAGGAAGGAAAGAAGGAGGGAGGGAGGAGAGACAGGAAGGAAGGAGAGGGGGGAAGAAGGGAGAGAAGAAGGAGAGAGGGATGGAGGAAGGGAAGAAGGAAGGAGAGATGGGAAGGAAGGAGAGGGGGAGGGAGGAAGAGTGGGAGGGAGGAAGCAGAAGGGAGGGAGGAGATGGAAGGGGAAGGAGGAAGGAAGGGAAGAAGGAAAATAGGAAAGGAAGGAAGGAAATGGGAAGGGAGGAAGAGAGGGAGGAAAACGGAAATGAAGGACGAAAGCTTAATCCTGACATTTTAATTTCAACCCCTGGGTTTACCAGACATACTAAAGAATGGGGGAAAAAAACCCCAAAACCTATAACCCCGATTCATACTAGCCAGGCACAGTTAAGGCCAACCGAACTGCTCGTATCTTTGCTAAATCCAGCAAAAAAAAAAAAAAACGAAAATGGATTTTCTGACAGGGGTCCAAGAAAATCCCACCCACTCCTTCAGTCCAAAAACCCTTCCAGCCTTGATGTTCTCCTTCTGAGTTGATCCCTTCTGGAGAAGCCGCTGTATTCTTGATAAGCATCGCCGTAAGATTGAGGCAAAGATTTAAGACTCGGTCGAGCGGAGAGGTGGGATCTGCAAATTCCTTGCTGAGAAGATGCTGCCCTCCTGGTTTCGGGTAGAAAATGTTCTTCCTGCAAAAAAAGAAAAAAGATTTTAAAAAAAGACTTTAAAGAAGTGATTCTGGGACAGGTAACAAAGGACTTAGGTATTGGGGGGGGGGGGTTGGACTAGATGACCTTTTATGTCCCTTCCAACCCTGATTATCTGTTAGAAAGAAGCTCCTTTTGCCCTGTCTCGACTCTTATGTCCTTGGGCTGCATTCACACAACACCTTTAACCTGGTTTGGATTTCCACAGTGTCCTCAATCATGGGGAAAATAGCTACCCAAACCAAGATAGCCAATTTTTCAGCTGTCATGCAACCCGATCAAGCTCGTTGGGTAGATCCGACCAGGTAGGTTTTCTCAGGTCCAATTTGCAGCCATAACTAAGTTTGTTTAAAAGTCTGGCTTGTGGACTATGAATCACGAACCTTTGGAATTCAAGTCGATTCCTCCTTAACAGGGAGTTGGTTGAGGGTAAAGCAGGCTTCACACATAACTTTATCGGACTTCACGCATAACTTTATCTGGCTCTTTTCTTTGCTGTCTGATTTTAGGATTTGAACTGGGGTAGCTTTTGTTGAGATGTGTTTGTAGGTTGCGTACAACTGTTGAGGTTTGAGTGGCCTTGCAATCGCGATCCGTAAGAGAATAAGGCGTGACAGGTCAGGCCACAGTTTGGTGAGCAGGCGGACGCCCCAAATTCAGCCTTTCGGCAATATTATGTATCTTATAATTGTTTGACAAATAAATAAAATAAATAAATATTGATCCCAGAATGGGACTTCAAGAGAAGCAATGTCCTAGTTTTGAGAAAGAAGGAGAAGGGAAGAAGAAAGGAGAGCAAAGGAAGGAGAAAGAGAGGGGGAAAGAAGGAAGGAAGGAAGGAAGGAAGGAAGGAAGGAAGGAAGGAAGGAAGGAAGGAAGGAAGGAAGGAGAAGAAATAATCAGGTGTACACTCACCATGGCTGTATTTTGGGGGCTCAGCCTCTCAGATTCAAAGTGGTGTCTGCAGAAGTCGTTTTGTCATCCTTCTTTCCCATGCTGGCTTCTGTGTCATCATGGTTTCCCTTCATCCATCCTGGCTACTTGCAGCGCCAGAAAGAAGCACAGGGAGAAAAATTAGACCCCACTGTCTCTCTCTCTCTCTTCCCTTCTGAATCCACGTCAGAAGTCAAACTCAGATTCCAGATGGAAAAAAAAGGAGGGAAAAATAAATAAATAAGATACTTACAGGCTCTTTTCCTTTGGGGTGTCCTGGGAGAAGGCTGCACAGCCTGCACAAGCCAGCATTCCAAGCCAATCCCTGGCTTGTTAAGTGCGGTGGGGGAAACGGAGAGCGTCTCTTTATACCCCGGCGGTGGCATTCAAAAGCCTGGGTTCGACCAGCCTTGGCGTTTCCCACACTCTGGTCCAATCCTCACCCTTGTCCCGGGGACAATGGCCAGCTCGTCTATTATGGGATGGTAAATTAACTGTGAATCGACGCCAGACAATAGCCAGATCCCCAAGGAACAGGTGGTCTCGCTCTGAATAACAAGAAGGGCTCCAAAAGATCGAGGGGAAAAGAAAGAAAGAAAGAAAGAAAGAAAGAAAGAAAGAAAGAAAGAAA